CTGCTCCAGCCACCCGGAGGTTACGCGGAGCAGAAGGCCGTTTGGGTTGAATGCGTGGGGTTTTTCCAGCGATCGATCCCTTTGGACTGGCTTCCCCACCAGCAACCTGCGCGTCCCCACCACAACCAGCCCGATGGCCGAGCGAAGGTTCGGGAGACCTTGCAGGGAGCGCAGCTAGCCCTCGCCGACCCGGCCGCGCTTTGTCTGGGGCGCGCGCCCGCCCGTTTCCGGCCCCGCCCCTCGCCTTGGTGCCAGCCCGCCCCTCCCCCGACCCCGCTCCAGCGCCTGAGCTCCCGCGCGCCTGGCTTCCGCGGCTTCCCCCACTTCTCAGCCGGCTTCCCTCTCCCCTCTCCTTCCCTTCCTGCCCTTTCACACTCACGCCCCAGCCCCCGTCACCAGCTACCCCAAGGACTTGCAAACTTCGCCCTGCGGAGCGGACTCTTCGGTTCTCCGTGGAAAATCAACCAGACCCAAAACAGAAGTCCCGGCCTTGGGGATACCACGCCGCGCGCCTGAGCATCCGGGCTCCATGTCTCCAGGCGACATCTGCAGGAAGGGAGACCTAAAGGCCGTGGCTGGGGAAGAGAGGCAGGTGCCTGGAGTAGTGAACGGTGGAGATGGCGACGGCGGCCGGGCGGCCTGCACCCAGCGATTCCTAAAGTGCCCATGTATCTGTCCGTCTGGGTGTTTGTTTGTTTGTTTGTTTGTTTGTTTGTTTTTCTTAGATCATCCACCAAGGCCAAGGTTTCCGAGTGAGGTGCCCACTTCGCATCCCACAGTACCGCCACGTGTGTTCCCCATGAGCTCTTTAAGAGAGAACCCAAGAGCTCCTTAAGAGAGAACCCAAATAATATACGAATACCTTCTCCAGTAACTTCAAGTCAGGGGCTCAGACACACACACACATCCCTAAAACCTATTTCTTTCTTGGAAGAGCATGTGTCCCTCGGCTGTCCTTCCAGCTCTCCCTTGGTGCATGTGCAGGACGCACAGAAGGGTGGAGTGTGAGTTGCGATGATTTTTACACAGAAGGTGTCACACTTTGGGATCTGTTCCGCAGGGAGGCCACAGGTGCCAGGGGACGGGGAAGAGACTGACTCTTGGCAAGAACATTTCTTTGCATTGTTCATTGCAGTTGTTTTTGACTGTTTGTTTGCCTAAGAGATGATCTTGCTTGCCAGGAAAAAAAAAGTGTTATAAAAATAAAAGGAAACAGGATTACAATGTAAAAGACGAATAGATAAACCCGGTTCCGCAGATATGCGGCGCGCGCCTCACGACCTCGGATACATTCATTGAAGTTGCCGCGCACTCATACCCGGTTCACCTCGCCGCTCGCTCATTCCTCCTGACTAAGGCGCATGGTCAGAGGTGTCCTCGCCCCGCGGCCGTTAGAGGACGCGGCCTACGCTGGAAAGCTGGCCGAGTCCTCCACGCGCTCGGAACTCGGTCTTCCCGATGCAGCCTCCCAGCTATCCCAATGCCCGCTGCCTTTCCCGAGCCCGGCCCAGAACCCGCCTCTCTCGGGGACCTTGACCTCGCGCGGACCTCGTCGCCTTGCTTAGCTCTCCCTGACCTGCTTTTGAACCCGCTAATCCCGTCCCGAACTCTCGCCCCGCGGCAATCCCTCGCCCCGGCCCCGGCGCGCTAATTCCCGCTGACCCCGCCGCCCCGCCACCTCGGCTCGCGCGGCTGTGACTGGGATGAGGGCTTCCCACCTCTGAGTGCAGGTGTGATCTGGAGCTCAGGCCATTACTGCCCCGCATTGTCCCCAGCCTGCGCTCGCACGCCCTAGGACCCAAGCAAACCGTCTCTTGCCTCAAACATTCTGCCCTTCTCTTGCTTCCTCTTGTTTCCCTAGCATAATTCATGTCTTTCTTTAAGAAACCCGTCGGACGCACAAAGATCAAAATCTTCGGTAAGACGCTAAGCTGGCGACGCTGTGGGGAAGCAAGCACTCTCCCACGTGGCTGGCGCGCAATGAGGGCGCAGGAAAGGTAAGCAGGAGACCCGCAGCCAGGAGCCAGCGCCAGGCGCGGGCGAGGCAGGCAGGCAGGAAGAACGGCGGACAGGGCGACTTAATCTCGTTTTTACAGCCAGAGAGTGAGATTGACAATAGCTTGAGCTTCTAGGGATGGGGCTGAGATTCTGGAGAGGCACCTACTAGTCATTTCCTAACCTTTTGGGCTGCTTGGAATTTTTTTCTCAGATGCAAGTTTTCCTTTTAAAAGAAAAGAAAGAAAAAAAAAAGGCAGAGTGGAGTGGCTCACACCTGTAATCCCAACACTTTAGGAAGCCAAGGGGAGAGAAGCCCTAGAGGCCAGGAGTTCCAGACCAGCCTGGGCAACATAACGAGACCCTTGTCTTTGCAAAAAATAAAAATAAAAAATTAGGCGAATGTGGTGGCTCCCGCCTATGGTCCTAGCTACTCAGGAGGCTGAGGCCGGAGGATAGCTTGTGCTTAGGAGAAGGTTTTAGTGGGCCGTGATCGTGTCGCTGCAACCAGCCTGGGCTATAGAGTGAGACCTTGTCTCTTAAAAAAAAAAAAAAAGTAAAAGTCATTATTTTAAAAGTTGATGAAATTAGTTCACACCACACGCATTTACAAACAGGTCACACACACACACACACACAGAAACACTTCCAAGGTGAGGGTCTGCATGTTTGTTTGGGGTTGTTTTGTTTTGTTTTGTAAGTGAACTGAAACCAACACAAGGCACTGTACTCCCCTTCTTGGTGTTTCATTATTCCAGGACCATGGAGGCTTCGTAAAAAGCATTTCTTTAAGGGGAGTTATTTTCAGAGGCTGTTTTCTAGCCAGGAAAAAAAAAAAAAAAAAAATCGGATACTTAAACTTATCCCCTGGGGCGTGCAACATGTAGAATGCTCCTCCCAACCCCAAAGATCAAATTCCGGCCTTCCAGACTTGATCGTGTATCACTCTGACTGTCCGGGGAAGGCTGGCCATCTCCAGTGATATAGGCTGCACGACCGACTATTCGAGTCTGTTTGGCTCACAGTTGTCCCCCAGTGCTTGGCATATTGTAGGAACTCAATAAACATTTGTTAGATGACAAATATTTCAAAGAATGTGCAACAGCTCCTGGAGAACTGTTTCCAGTAGATATAAATTCCTAGCAGCATCTTGGAGTAAGAGGACAGGCCGCCTAGGCTGCCACCTCTAGAAGGCCTTGGATAGTGGCCAGTGCCTTCCCACAGAGGCCCGACAGTCACCCAACACGGGCTGTCATTCAGCTCCTCACTCTTGCATTTTGAAAGTCCTCTCCCAGGGTGAAGAGATAGAGAATTCCTCTAGCCTGTTCCTACCAGGCCGGTGGCTCCTAGAGACCCAGTCCCTGGGTAACCTCTCCTATTCACCATGGACAATAGGCCACTCAGCAGACTGGCCTTGGGTGCTTGTGTTGGGACCCACCTGAGCCTGAGAGCAGGGACTCTGGCTCACATGGTGAAGGGGAAACTTCAGAGAGAGGGTGACCTAGGAAGAGGTGCCAGAGATGCCTGGCTTCTGATTGCCAAGCTCAGTCTGGAACCCGCTTGCAGGTGACACGGATCACTGATCTAAATGATTATTGCTTGAGGCAACAGGGCCCCAAATCTGAAGTTTTCCCAGCACTGGGGATATGGGAGACAGGTGGTTAGTGACCTTGAATGTACAGTGTTCTGGCTTGCACAGAAGGCATGGCAAAGACAAAAAGGACAAAACGATGAAAAGGAGACCTGCCTACTTTGTAGTGACTAGTGGCAAAGACAAAAAGGAGGCCTGCCTAAGTGGTAAGTCACTGTAGGCAAGCTCTCTGAGGCACAGTCAGGAAGGAAAGGTGAGCCACTGCCCTTGATGGAAACACAGGAACAAAATGCTTCAAGCCTATTCTAAACTTGCGTTTTACTGGATTCATTTGACTTTTAACACACCACAAATTCAAAAGGTATCAAAGGATATAAAGGCCACCCATGCTGGCCTCCAGGCCCCTCCCCAAAGACAGCCCAGGGAGCAGTCCCAGTGATCCCAGCTGCACCCTGAGCTTTCCAGGAGCACCTCATGAGAAATGCCTGGGAAATGATGCCTGCCCCCTCCCATGTGCCCCCCACCGCCCGCCACACACACACACACACACACACACACACACACACAGCCTTTACAATCTCCCTTTGTCTCTGTGCCAGAGGACTCAGATCTTTCTTGGGCTTGAGTTGCTGTTTCTTCCCTGAATCGTTCTTCCCTGAGCCTCAGGAAAGGCTGATGGATAGGCTGGGGTTCTCAGGTTGGGAAAAATGCAGGATCTGGCTTTGGGTGTGAGAGCGGAATGATAAACTCAGAATGCTCCCCAGTGTCTGTGCCAGGGCTGAGTTGGATGAAGGAAGACAGGGTTCCAGCCCAGGCCTCACAGCACACTGTCCTCTGAACCCAATGACCAGTTTTGGGAAGCAGAAAGTTGAGCCAAAATGGGAGGAGAACTGCTGTCCTCAGCCTTGGCAGCCAGTTTCATTTCTCCTGCACCCACCACCTGGGATAGGCACTAAGGTAGTCAATGTGGAGGGCCCTGGAATCTGGGTTCACAACCCGCATGCTGGACAGTCTCCCGCTGCTCCATTGGGCATGGCTAACCTCCTCATTTCTTCATTCACCCTGGCACGAGGAGGAGAGGCACCAATTAGGGCTACAGTGTATTCTTGGCTTTAAGCCTTAAATGACACAAGCTTAAATCTTTGCTTCAGCACCCACAGATTGCCAGGTAAAGTGCACTGGGTAAAGTGCTCTAAATATATTAATTTACTCCTCTTAACAGTTCCAGAGGTTGATACTAATATTACTCCCACTGAAGCATAGAGAGGTTCAGCAGCCTGTTAGCAACTAGTTAAGTGGTAGAGCCAGGATTTGAACACAACCTAGCCAGGAGCCACAACTCTGAATCATTGCTTCAGAGACTGTATTCCTACAATGCTACAGTCCAGGTGGCTCTTCCCCATTGGACAAAACCAGAAAGAATGCTTCCAGAAGGTGACTGATTAGCTGGGGATCCATAGCCATCAGTGGCCTTTCCCAAGCCTTGCCGGGTTCATCTAGCTGCTCCCAGGAAACCTCCCCGCTCTTCTGGTCAAGCTGCTGACCTGCAGGCTGAAAACCAGTTTGGGAGTCACAGACATGCTCACACAAAAGGTAGAAATAATCCAAATTTCCATCAATAATGAATGGATAGACAAAAAGTGAGCTAATCATACAATGAAATATTCTTCAGTCAGAAAAAGAAATGAAGTACTGACACATGCTACAACATGGATGAAATTTGAAACAGTATGCTAATAAAAGACGCTAGGCACAAAAGCCACAGGTGATGATTCCATTTATATGAAGTATCCAGAATAGGGAAATCCATAGAGACAGAGAGTAGATTAGTGCTTGCTTAGGGCTGGGGGTTTGAGGAGATAGAAGGCTGGGAGATCCAGATTTCTTTTTGAGGTGATGAAAATGTTCTAAAATTGACAGTGGTGATGGTTGCACATATCTGTAAATACACGAGAAAACCATTGAATTATACACTTTAAATGGGTGAATTATATGACATGTGAATTACATCTCAATAAAGCTGTTACCAAAACACAAAAATCAATACAGCATACACACATAGTTTGAGAATATAAGGCCACCACCCAGCCAAGGTAGATCCAGGCTCTGCCCTGCAAGTGTCCATGTCCTTGCAGTCCAAGTTTCTTTCAGTCTCTGTAGAGGCCACAGCTCCCCTGCAGTGAATGACACTGCCCCTCAATTCAAAAGGCCCCTCCTGTGCTGTGCCAGGAGCCTGGATCCAGCCTACCAAGAACCTCTTAGCCTGGGAGACAGCCTTCTTCACAGAGTGAAGTTGGAGGGAGGGGAAGAAATGTTTGCCTTGGCAGGGCCCTTGGGGTCCCACACGAACCAGCTATGTGACCTTGGTCTCAGTATCCTCTTCTGCAAATTGAGACAACTGAGTCCCTACCCTAAATAGTCTTGTGAGTATTTCATGAAATTATGAGTCTAGCACAACTTCCAGCACTAGCCAGTGTATTCCATGTTAGAAAACAGATGAAGGATCGAGCGAATTTGGGGGATGATCTAGATAAAATCAGAGTGGTGCGAGTGAAGGGATTTAGTTTGTTAAGAAAGAAGAAAAAGTTTTAGAAGATTGTCTCAAGTCTCTTGCATTTCTTTTGTTCATTTCAATTCCACACCTAGTGGGATTGTATTTGCCTAAAATGGACAAGTGAAAGAGCGCACTCCTACCCCTACAGGGAGAGGGCAGAAGAGAAGAGGGGAAATAAGGAAGCAAGGAAAAGGGAGAGGGAGGAAGGAGAGAGTGTTGGTGAGGAGGATACTAGAGAAACTGCCTCGAAAACTCAAGGGACAGGAAGGACAGAACTGCCCAGGGAAGGGGTGGCTGAGGGGAAAGAGGAAGGCTAAAGAAAAGAAGGAGAAACGGAGGCAAAGGGAGGGGGAGGTGACCAAATCATCAGGTGAAAGGGGAGGAGGAGGAAGAGTCACAGAGAACTACCGGGGAGAAGAAGGAAGAAGCCAACTAGTCTGGGATCAATCTGGAGAAGATTACCAAGTCAGGAGTCCGAAAGCCCCCCTTCCAGAACCTGGGGACACTGGTCTCCGTTGGCTGCCGACTGGGACTTCTCTCCCTATTCTGGCCCAGCCATCCTCTCCCTGCTCTTGGGCAGCCCTGGAGAATCCTGAGTCCTGTGGATGGACAGGGCTTTTCAGATTAAGTTGGACACCTGGAGGTTGGGTCCAGTCGTGTTCTGCCCGGGTCTGTTCAACCATCCCCGAATGAACCTCCTCCCACAAAACTTCCCCCACCTCCCAGACCCCACTACCCCTGGCTTGCCCCCTCCCTGACCCCACCTAGAGTCCTGACCATTTCTCATTTCCTGAACCACAGCATGCTGATCACCACTGGCCTTTGCTCCAGCAAAGTGCCAGCTTCCCCAGCCCTTGTCCAAATTCAGGTGGTTCCCAACCAGGCTTCAGCTGGAAGCCTTTTAAATATATGGATAGCCACTAGGAACCACTAAGGAGCCATTTGGTCTTCAGCTGAGCACCAGCCATTTCAAGTTGTCTGGGTGATTTAATATGTGGCAAGTGTTGAGAACTCCAGTTTGCCTCCTTCCTTAAGCCTTCCTGGCCCTGGGCCAAGGCCACAGCCAAGGCAGTACTGCCTAATGTATATTTGCCTGGTTAGGTACCTAGAGGACCTCCTGAGGTCTGACATGTTAGCAATGGTCACTCCAGTGTGGCCTTCTTTACAGCCCGGCCTAGACCCACAGCCTCCCTGGGGGAAGCCCTCCTGGTTAGGCCCTGGGACTCAGCAGATCAGGAAAGTTGCTAACACCTTGCTTCGGCCTGGCACACAGGCAGCAGATCTTGACGGGCTCTAGAGCTCCCACAGCTTGGCTGGAATCCCTGCTGGGGCAGAGAAGATGGAGCAAAGAGAGGCAAAGCAGGTAAGTGCTGCCTTAGGGGGCTCTGTGCTGTGTCCTTGAGGTGTCTTAGGGGAGACTAGGCCCAGAAGCCCACACTGAGGTGGCAGAGGGAAGGATTCAGCAGCAGTTAAAGCTACTGTCCTGCAACCCAGAGCACACAAAGCCAACTGAAGACCCTGTGGGCCTAGGCCAGCGAAGGTAAACGCCAGGTTGGACAGGTGGTGGGTCCAGAGGTGGTGCAGTGGCTGGAGTCTTTGGCTTCTCACCCTGAACCAGGCAGGTTCAGCACAGCAAATTTGGGTTCCCTGTTCCCCACTCAGGGGTAACCTCCCACCCGTGCTCATAGAGAGTGCCCCTACAGCCCAAGGGTCCTTCTCCTGCATAAACCCCAGTGGGCAACACTGGCATCCAGCACAGACATGCCACAGTCATTTTGTGTTGTCTGAAATGAGCTGTGACTGAGCCTGCAGGAGCCAGTGATCCAGGAGGGGCCTACACAGTGAAATTTGAGGAGCTCCCCCACCTCTCTCGACACCCCCAAGGACCTGCCTATGGTCTTACTGTTGGAGCTACCTCCTTCACTTTCAGCACTGCTACTTTTCTCAGAAATAAATATATTTTTATTGTTTTATAAAAATAACAATGCTCATTGTAAAAATACCAAAATCCAATACGATCACCTCTTAAAATGTCAATCCTTCCCTAGCAGTGGGTGGGTTAGTGGGCCCCTCCCAAACAGGCTGGTACAGAGGTCAGGATCCCAGGCACTAGAGTTGGGGCACAGACAGGGGGCTGGAGAAGGAAGTGGGGTGCAGAGGCTTTCTGCCAACTCAGACAAAGAAACTACTCCCTGAGTAGTTTCTGTGAGGATTGTTCCTCTCTGCTCATCCCAAGCTCCCAGCTCTCTTTAGCTGCAAAAGAATTCCCATTCCTGCATCATGATGGCTGAGCAGAATGGCAGGCCTGGAGACTGGATTTTTTGGGAGGAGGGCAAGTGCTGCGGAGGATTTCCCAGGGGCCTTAAGGTGGGCCCCAAAACTAGAGAGGAGAGAGGAGGGCAAGAGACCCAAAAAGAAAGTTGTCAGAGCAGAGCTGAGGAACCCAGGCTGCCTGAGCCTCTGGGGCTCTGGGCCTGAAGTGGCTGGGGGGATGCGCTAGCTGAGAGAGGCAACGGGGTGGTAGAGGCAGAGAGGGTCAAAGGGGAGGACAGGAGAGAAGCAGGGGGAGCCCCGGAAGGCACCTATGACTGCGCACCGCGGGGGAGAGGCCAGGCCCCAGCCTTAGCTAGAGGGAAGCGCACCCTAAGTAGCCAGACTGAGCAGGACAGAGTGCAGGCCTGGAGAGCCGGCCTGGTGCACCTGCCAGAGCATCCCGAAGGATACGAAAGAAGACAGAATGCTGGACACAGGTTCTGAGCACCTAAGCTGGATACTGAAGGCTCTGCCAGAGCTGCAGAGCGCTGGCAGTGAAGGACAGAAAACGGCTTCGCAGAAAGGTACTGGGTAGTGTCTGGGGGAACCTGACCTACGAATTCCACCCGCCCACATACATCCCTTCGCTCCCCTAGCAGCCAGCACAGGCCTCACATTGCCAACCCTAGAGAGGGCTGCTGTGGGTCGTGGTGTTGGGGGTAGGGGGCAGGGGAGTGTATTTATCCACAGGCACCAGGGATCCAGTTCTTAGCGCCACGAAGGCTCGGGAGGTCTGTCCCTCCTGCTGAGCGGCCAAAAGGCAAGAAGGTGTGTGGTGCAGGGCTGGAGGGTCCACGGGGAATAACCGGAACAGGCCCGCGCCCCGAAAAGGCGTCAGGAATTGGAGGGTGGCAGAGGATGCCGAGCAAGGCTGAATCCAGAGAGGATGGCCCCTTTCCCCGACTCCAGCCCGGCTTTGGAGAAGCCCCAGGGGATCCCAGTTCTAAAGGGTCTCTAAGGGGAGCTAGGAGCAGGAGTGCCCCTCCCTACCAACTGTCTTCCCATTCTCCCACTGAGAATGAAGGACCTGAACCACTACTGCCCTCCCCTCACCGTCTGGCATTCCCCTTCCAACTCCCTTAGGTTTAGTTTCTCAATTGCCTTACCAAAAAAGAGAGGAAGCGAAGAGTCGGAAGAAATTCTCTGGGCCCCTGGGGTCTTGGCGGGTTGAGATCACAGTGAGGCCGCAGGGGGAGACTGAAGGTGAAGAGGAGAACAGTAGGCCCGAGACACCGGCGCTCAGGTCCCAGTCGCGAATGGGGAATCCCTGATCCCAGTGAATTCGCGCCAGGCGGACTCGTCACGCCTCCAAGCTCTGCGTCCGTCTTGCACAGGGCAGGAAGTTTCCTCTAGAGCCAGGCAGGGACTTAGCTTAGGCACGCTTTGTTCCCCAACCCACGCATATACTCTGAAGGGGCGGTACCGCACCCCTACATCCCCCCGTACACCCTCGCCATGCGTCTGTACCCGGGCACAGGTGGCCCAGCTTTCCTCACCAAGGACCCGGGGGACTTAGCGAAGCAAGATGTTCTCTGTCTCTAGGAAGGGGAGGACGCGGGTGGGAGCCTAGTGGCTCCCGCACAAAGTGCCTCCTTGGTGGGGAATTAGACCGCCCAGGCAGCAAGCTTAGGGAGGCACTGGGGGCCAGGCAGCCTGGGGTTCAAGAACCTCTGTTCCTGCGGATGGCCAGGCTTCCAGCTCGGCCTGAAAGGGGTCTGACTGGGTCAGGGAAGGGCTCAGTGAGGAGACCCAGTCCTCCTCTCCACTGCTCCTCCATACACACCCGGGCGCCTCCGCGCACAGAAGCCCTGACTTCCTCACTCCATCCCCGCATGCACATGCACTGGGGCTGGGGCCCCACTGCCCAGGCTTGCCCACAAGAGACACCCAGGATTCCAGAGGGAGGACGAATCTTTTACCTCCAAGAGAGAACGTGAGAAAGGAAGAATAAAGGGTGCAGGAGAAAGGAGAAGACTGGAACACCCAAGAGTCGATACCTAGCTGGCTTGGAGCCAGGCGGTGCTCCCTGCAAGGCTCCCAGGAGCAGACAGGGAAGGGAAAGCTGCCAGAACGTCCAGAGTCCAGGCTCCGGAGGACTCTATAAGAGGCCTCCGACCTCTCCCAGGAGTGTGCTCACACCCAGGACCTCATCCATGGGCACTGGGAGAGGACTCCAGGACTGAGACTCGAGTTACTGGCATGGAAAGATGCCATTTGTGAAATGAAAAATAAAAACGACGACAACAAACGAAGCTTGGCACGGTCCAGCAAGTGCTGCTTTTCCGTTTTTGTCTGCACAGAAACTGGGGCCTCATCTGCAGCAAGCAGAACCGCTAGAGCTGGGGGTAGGGGTGCAGTGTCCAGGCAAGCCGAGTGTTTGTTTATATTTCTGTTTATAATTTTTGTATATTAGATGCATCTCAAGTAATAAAAATAAACTTGAGAGAGCCAGAGAGGCAAAAAACTGAAGTGCAGAGTAGAGGTGGTGGCTGGGTGAGAGACAAGACTTTTGGGAAGCTTGGCGGATGGAGAGGGAGAGGGTCTGACCTGCATGGCGGTCATTAAGGAGTTCACTGCCACTGCTAGGGCCAGGCCGGGAGGAATAGTGCAGAGCTCACGGCACACGGGCAACATGGATTCTTTCAGGCGAGCTCAGTTCCACTGGGTCATACTTTCCCCAGGACCCTCCTGAAACCTCTTTCTCACTCCTTTCTCCTACATACATACACATTCCTACAGTCCTGTGCCCCAGGCCCACAAACTCTCAGCACCTACAGGTAGTCCAGGCTGCTCTCCCTCTGAACACCCTGACTTAAGCCTTGGGCTCAATCCCACCTTTCCTGCCACCCACCCAAACCACTCTGTGGCTGTGTTTCCCCTTCCTTCCTTCCTTCCTTCGTAATAAAATAAACTTGAGAGAGCCAGAGAGGCAAAAACTGAAGTGCAGAGTAGAGGTGGTGGCTGGGTGAGAGACAAGATTTCTTTGGGAAGCTTGGCGGATGGAGAGGAGAGGGTCTGACCTGCATGGCGGCCATGAGTTCACTGTTGACTGCTAGGCTGTGGCCGGGAGGAATAGTGCAGAGCCTACGGCACACGGGCAACATGGATTCTTCAGCAGCTCAGTTCCACTGGGTCATACTTTCCCAGACCCTCCTGGAAAACCTCTCTTTCTCACTCCTTTCTCCTACACAAGCACACATTCTACAGTCCTGTGCCCCAGGCCCACAAACTCTCAGCACTCTACAGGTAGTCCAGGCTGCTCTCTGAACACCCTGACTTAAGCCTTGGGCTCAACCTACCTTCTGCTACCCACCCAAACCACTCTTGGCTGTGTTTCCTTCCTTCCTTCCTTCCTTCATTCCTTCCTTCCTTCCTTCCTTCTTCCTTCTTTCTTCCTTCCTTCCTTCCTTCCTTCCTTCTTTCTTTCCTTCCTTCCTTCCTCTTTCCTTCCTTCCTTCCTTCCTTCCTTCCTTCTTTCTTCCTTCCTCCCTTTCCTTCCTTCCTCCTCCCTCCTTCCTTCCTTTCCCTCCTCCTTCCTTCCTTCCTTTCCCCTCTCCTTCCTTCCCTCCCTCCTTCCTTCCTTCCTCCTCCTTCCTTCCTCCTCCTTCCTTCCTCCTTCCTTCCTCCTTCCTTCCTTCCTTCCTTCCTCCTTCCTTCCTTCCTTCCTTCCTTCTTTCCTTCCTTCCTTCCTTCCTTCCTTCCTTCCTCCCTCCTTCCTTCCTTCCTCCTTCCCTCCTTCCTTCCTTCCTTCCTTCCTTCCTTTCCTTCCTTCCTTCCCTCCTTCCTTCCTTCTTTTCTTCCTTTCTCCCTCCCTTCTTTACTACCAGCAAGACCTCCCGACCTGCCCTTTTTACCCTCTGCTTTCCCTAGGTTCCATATCCTAAGTGGAGTAGTTGTTAATTATTCAATTAAATAATTGGTATGTGTCCCCCTCCCCCCGCAACCTCACCTTCTGCCGGGAATATCTGGCATCGGAAACACACAACCATTCACATGAATACTGTACACGCACTATGGTACTGACACACGCACATACTCATATACCTGCTTTCCCACTCACAGGGATAATGGAGGCTGCACCAGGGACACATGCAGCCATGCTACAGCCACTTTCACGGGCATATCCACACCCGCTCTCACAGACCCCCTTAACCAGATTATTGGACAGACCGAAGCACCCTGCTCACGCCAGCAGGTCAAACAAACGAAGGAAAGTCTGAGGTGGTAGTGCTTTAGGGAAAGGGTCACAGGCCTTGTTGCGCGTGCACACATTTGCACACACACCTTCGTTCTCAATCTTTCGTCCAGGTCCCCTTCTGAGTCAAAGAAAGTCCCCTCCCAGTGCGTTGAGAGAGACACTAGGCTCGGGCGAGCGCCGGCCTCTCCAGTAAATGCTGGGGATCCGCACGCCTCGGGGGGCTGAGCCCCGGGACCCCAGCTGTTCAACTCCTTACAACCTGACTCTACTTCACTTCCAGCCTTGCTCACCTCCGCCCTTTACCTCTCCGCAGACTCGGAGAAGGTGGGACCCGGGACAGCGACACAGCGACAGAGCACGGGGAGAGCTCCGCGGAGGGAAACAAGGAAATCCCCACCTTCTATCCCTGTCTCGTGGTGCGGTCCCCTGTGACGGCCTCAGACCTGCGGGAAAACCAGGACTTTGCCGCCTACCACGGTCTCAGCCTTACTCTCGAGTCTCTGGGCGCCTGCACCCGGCTGTCTGCCTGTGCGCCTGTTCAGTCTCTCCCGGGGACGCGGGTGAGTCCGTCTCCTTGCCTCACTTTCCCAGCCTCATTCGCCCACTCTCGCCCTTGATCTTCCATGAGGGCCGGGGAAGGGGGTCCTCCGGTCTGCGTTCATGAGTGTGGGTGGGTATAAATCTAGGGGTTGGCGCACTGAGCCCAGGCCTGCGCCCCCGCCTCCAGCACCCCCACCGACCCCACCCTGCCAAGCCCCAGAGCAAGGCCAACCTCCTCTTCTCTGCTAGGTCTCGCCGAGGTCGCCTTCTTTGCGCACTTTGGTTATTGATCCTGCTGAATCGGCCGGAGCGCAGCGGCTGCGCTTCTGTGGGAACAAGGGAGTGGGGAGGTGAGTAAGCTAGGGGAACGGTGGAGGGGAGGAGAGATTGATCAACTTTAGGAGGGGTTGTAGGGCATTCCTCAAGGCCGTCCCATTCTCCCTCTGCCCGGCTTGGAGCAGGGCTAGACTACGGGTGGAGTGGGACCACCGCTCCCCTCCCCCTCCCTCTCTCCCCTGGCGTGGAGCCCCGGCGCAGCTGGGAGTCTAGGAACCCTGACTCCCGCCCAATCAGCGGCGAGGGGAGGAGCAGCGGCCAGGGGCGGGGCCAGAGGAGGAGGAGTCGGGCGGGGGCGTGAGGGGCGGGGAGCGGCGCTCACCACCAGCCTAGGCTGGCTCCTGGATAGTGGGGTTGGCAGTGGCGGTCGGCATGGGCGATGGGGGCGCCGAGCGCGACCGGGGCCCCGCGCGCCGGGCGGAGTCTGCTGGCGGCGGTGGGCGCGGCGGGGACCGCGGCGGAGCGGAGGACTTGCGAGCTGATGGCGGTGGCCACAGCCCAACGGAGGTGGCCGGGACCTCAGCCTCCAGTCCCGCAGGCTCCAGGGAGAGCGGAGCCGACAGCGACGGGCAGCCCGGGCCCGGCGAGGCAGACCACTGCCGCCGCATCCTGGTGCGAGGTAAGGGGACAGCTCGTGGCCCTGCTCCACTGGACCCTCACCCTACCCATACTGGGGCCCCCGACCTTCTTGCAGGTGACATCTTCCAATTCATATATTCATTTATTCGTCATCCAGTCATTCATTCAAATATTATTTTGAGCGTCTATTGTGTGCTGGACATTGAGCTGAGTGAGGGGACAAAGCAGCGAATGGGACCGCAGCGGTCCCCGTTTCTCCGCCTCTCGGTCCAGTCCCTTAGTCGTAGGCCCACCCGGGACCTCTACTGTGGCGGGTGCAGAAATGGAGTGCCGGATGCTGAGAGCCTGGTCTCTGTCCCGTGACCCTCAAGGCAAGTGCGGAGAAAAGCGTCACGCGCGCTCCGCGGGGACAGGACGTGGAGAAAGCAGCGTCGGCAACCGCGGGAGGAAAAGGCCCCGGCTCTGCAGGGCGGCCGGGGTGCTTCCTCCCCTCCTGCTCAGCCGCGTTTCCCATCCCCGGCAATCCCGACCCGCACGGATTGCCCGGGGGAGATGGCGCGGGACTCGGAGAGTGGCGTGTGCGGCGCTTGCCCGCTGTGCTTCACTCTCTCGCTTCCCACTTCCTCGCGGCGCCTGGGCCCAGCCGGCTCTCGGCGCCGCCTTCCCGCGGCCTGGCCTTTCAAGTCCTTCCCTTTCTCCCTTGGCTCTCGTCCTCCTCTCTTCTTTCCCGGCCATTCCTCTCAGCCGAACGCGTCTTCCCGGCACCTTCTTCCTGCAAGCGCCTCGATCTGGACTGCGACCGATTACCCAGCTCTTCCCGGCCTCCTCGCCGCGAGGCCGAGGCTCCCCAGGCCCCCAGTGCCAGCCTTTCGCAGTGCCGAGGGCTCCGCTTTCCCTGGATCTGGGCCTTGCCCGGCGAAATGGGAGGAGAAAGGGGACTCCAGGGTCTTGCCCTCAGCCCGACCCCAGGTCGCGGCCAGAGACTGAAGTCCGTTGCCTCCTCCACCCCGAAGCCCCGCGTCCGGGAGACCCCGCGCCAGAAGAGGCCACTGGCGGTAATGGCTCCCCCAGGCTCCTTCCTGGGCTCCCTCCTCCGGCTTCCTCCCGGCTTCCTCCCGCTGCCTCTTTCCAGCCTCTTCACACTCGCCGCTCGGGAGAGCCTCTGGGCCTCTGGAGGCCACTGGCCCGAGCTGATTTCTTTGGCCTCCGCCTGGGGAAAGGGAACAGGCTGGAAGCTGGCCCTGGGTCGTTCCAGCGAAGGAATTCTGTTTGGTCTGAGCTCGGCTACCCTCAAGCTGACTGGGACACCCTGGGCCAGTTGGGCACGACCTCTCTGCAGCTGCTGGATGTGGGTGGCTCTGAGGACTGGAGTGCAGAGCATGAAGGCAGCCCAGTGTGAGGGTGACTGATGACTGCCTTAAATACAGAGGTAGGGGCCCTAGCTCTGGGAAACATTGCTGGTGCCAGATGTCACTGGGACAGTGGGTGCTCACTGCCACTCATAGTTGACTGCTTAAGTCAAGGCAGTTATACCATCAGGAATTCTAGCAGGTGTATGGACCTGTTGGGCACCAGGGATTAAATTCGGTTTTGTTCTTTAGACTGTGGGGTGTCCTGAGTGAAGGCATGAGCAGCCCTTTTGGTTCCTTTAAAAAAATCTGTAAGACTGCCAGAGAACTCAGTCCCCCAGTCCCACACATTCCCAGGGGAAGATCTAAAGTCCCTGCCTGTGACACTCATCACCTTGAACCCCACCTATGGGTGGGCATTTTCTTCCCCCCAGGACAATTGTGAGTTCTGTGCCCACCTAACACCCTCTCCACCCTACTAACCCTTTATGTAGAGCAAATAAGTTTTGTGTACAGATGTCAATTAAATAGCCTTCAGGGGTAAACTAATAGGAAGTGGAATTCAAAAGTGACCCTCCACCCTGTGAGGTGGGGCCACCCAAGCTGGAGCAATCCACAGTCAGGCAGAGATGGGCTTGCACTGAATGTAAGACAGCCTGTGTGAGTCTTCAGGGGGTGTACTTTTTATAAATGTATGTGCACACACAGAGGTGCCATTGCATTTGTAAAATATAATCAAAATATTAGATATAAAGCATAGAGGATATATTTACACACCTAACAGAAATGAAAGGCAAGTGTGGCTTTTATAAATCCCTCTGCCCTTCCCCATTTAATGATGGGGAGGTTATTATGGGCCTGAAACGCTCAGGATGTGATTTACCACTAATCTCTCCTAGCCAGGGTCACCTGAGTCACTGGCAGTCCCGCCATGGCTCAGGGCTCTGATCAATGAGACAGGCCTGGCACTGGTGAAGGAAAGTCTGAACTGCCTTGGCCCCTGAATGAACATCCCTTCCATAGGCCTTCAATACACTTTTCCCTTGACCTCTGAGAACACATCCTCCCAAAGAATCTTTGGAAGGAAACCACTAAAAGGTAAAAGGGAGGCATTTGCACTTGCTGTCCTGTGTCAGTGTTGGGTTGGGGCCTCCTCAGGACCTCCCCTTTCTTGGGGAGGCCTTCTGGGTCCTTTCTGCCTCCTTTCATTCTGCACTCCTTCACCTAAGAGCCTACCACAGGGGAGCAGGTTTGTTGAGGGAGTCCTTTGGCACAGGGAGTAGGAGGAGAGCTTGGGCGCCAGAGTTAAGCAAAGTTGGTTTAGATTACTGACCTTATAGCCCTTTAAACCTGAACCAATTTCTTTGTTTCTCTTTGCTTGCTTCCTCATCTTACAAAGGGACCCATAGCCCTTACCTTAAAGGACTTGCCAAGAATCAGAGGTGATGTCTAAAACTGCAAACACCCGGTAGGATCTCCATAAATATTTGTTGACAGAAGGAAGGGTGTAGCTCTGAGGTTAACCACTTTTGATGGGTGGGGCAATGGACCTTTGTTGTTTGAGGCCTCTCCCAAGTCACCCCTTTCCCCCTCCTTCTGGCTCTGGCCCAGGGTCTGGGCTGTACTGGGAGGTGAGCACCTAGGGGTCAAGAACACACTGATGGTAAAGGAAAATCAGCACCATCTTGCAGACCACACAGTGCGGCCCTCCCCAATCTCCTTGGTGGGAACCTTTTGGGATCAGTGACTCAAGGCTCTGCCAATGCAGGGTAGAGAGCCAGGGAGGCCAAATGTGATGCCTCCTGTGCATCAAAATGAAGGCTCCTTCCCGTCACACAAGGGCACGGACCGGAGCTGCTGAGATGATAGGCCGGGCGCACAACAGGCACCCCGCACATCGCACCGCGGACACAGCGAGCCTCCCATTCGGACCCTAAGGCCTGAGAAGGCCGCTCCACACCTCCGCGTGCACAGTCCCTAGACCAGTGAGGGCGGGGACGGAGGAATCCTTTTGTTTTATATTGGAAACCGCACACCAAAGGCAGGCAGGAAGCAACGAAAGGAACAGGCCGCCTGAGTCGTGGCTCAAATAGCACAGGGCAGTGGCCGAGCACCAGCCTTTTCGGTGGAGCTGGGATCCCAGCAGACAGAAGAGGTGGACAACTCTGACCCCAGACTCCCTACGACCCCACGATCAACGCTCGCACCTGCACACTCAAACGCACCTGTTTCCCAAATTAATCCGGACGCGAATTTAACGACCGATTTTGATAGATCCGGGAAATTCTGTCCACCAACACAGCAACTTTTACAGACAATGCGTGGTGTCCGTTCCTGCTCACCCAAAGCGGCCTCTCTGGGCTGAGAGCCACCGCTGTGGGTCCTCAAACCCCACTCGAAACCCTCCGAACCCCTCTGTCTGGGAGCGGTAGGGCGTGATGACTGCAGGATCCCTTGAAGAAGCCACTCGCTGCAACCCCACCACCAGCAGCAAAAACGCTTTCACCCGGGAGCTGAATGGATGCGCGGATGGCTGGGGGCCGTGAGGGGACGCGTGAAGCCCAGGCCTCTTGCTTGGGCTGGGCGATGCCCGCCGTGGGACGGGTGGGATTGACCTTAGTGGAGTCCAGCCCCTCGGAGAATCTGCGGGCAGCCGGGACCCACGCTCCAGAAACACGCAAGTCCGAACTCGTACACACAGCACAATGGCGTGCAGCCGCTGGGGCCCTATCTCCCAGTGGCGCGTCTGAAGAAGCCGTGCAAGGGGGTGCAGCTTCGGGGCTCCGGCTGGCAGGTTACTGCAGGGACAGACGCCTCGCCTCCAGCAGCCGGGTCCAGGCTCATGGTCGGCCGGCCTCTGCTCGCTTTCTGCTTGGATTTCCAGCAGCCACTGGGCTTGGGGAGATCGGCCCTGGCCGCAGGCCTAGCCCTGCTGCGCAGGCGTTTAGCAAGGACCATGGGACTTTCGTCTCAATATCTGAGTCTGTTAATAGACCTGATAACCCAGGACCAGCACCCCAGGCAGACATGGAAAAGTGTAAATGGCTCATGCAAGGAACTACACTTTGAGATTTTTGTACTTGTTTTTATTTTTTGGTTTTAGCTTTTGTAGAGGGTTTCTTTTTTTGTTTTGTTTTCTTGGAGTTGCTTTACGTTATTTTTCCCTTTTACTTGTTTTCGGCAGGAGGCACACATTCCCTTAGTGGGTCTATGCCGGCAGGCCCTCTCATTTGGGTCTTCTTTTGTTTTCCCCCTTCCATAACCCTCACACCCACAAACACACACTGAAGCAGAC